TTTGATAAAAATTGTAAGAAAAAAGATCAGATTGTATGAAGTGTGATAAAAATGGCTGTGCCTCATTGGTCTGGCTTAGTAACATAATTGAGAAATGGTTTTGGGTTTTTTGACTGATTTACGTAGGAGCTAATGAAAAAAAATCCCTTAATTTTTTATAAAAATTTAAATAAAAAATATTGGATTGTATGAAATGTGAGAAAAACTGCTGTGTCTCATCGTTCTAGTTTAGTAACATCATTGAGAAATGATTTTGGGTATTTTGACTAATTTCCCTAGGAGCTATTGAAAAAAAATCCCATAATTTTGTATAAAATCGTCTCGTCTCGTCTCGTCTTCCTCCGCTTATCCGGGTCCGGGTCGCGGGGGCAGCATCCCAACTAGGGAGCTCCAGGCCGTCCTCTCCCCGGCCTTGTCCACCAGCTCCTCCGGCAGGACCCCAAGGCGTTCCCGGACCAGATTGGAGATGTAACCTCTCCAACGTGTCCTGGGTCGACCCGGGGGCCTTCTGCCGGCAGGACATGCCCGAAACACCTCCCCGGGGAGGCGTCCAGGAGGCATCCTGACCAGATGCCCAAACCACCTCAACTGGCTCCTTTCGATCCGGAGGAGCAGCGGTTCTACTCCGAGTCCCTCCCGAATGTCCGAGCTCCTCACCCTATCTCTAAGGCTGAGCCCGGCCACCCTACGGAGGAAACTCATTTCGGCCGCTTGTATCCGCGATCTCGTTCTTTCGGTCATTACCCAAAGCTCATGACCATAGGTGAGGATTGGGACGTAGATCGACCGGTAAATCGAGAGCCTGGCTTTCTGGCTCAGCTCCCTCTTCCCCACGACAGATCGGCTCAGCGTCCGCATCACTGCAGACGCCGAACCAATCCGCCTGTCAATCTCCCGATCCCTCCTACCCTCACTCGTGAACAAGACCCCGAGATACTTAAACTCCTCCACTTGAGGTAGGACCTCTCCCCCGACCCGGAGGAGGCAAGCCACCCTTTTCCGGTCGAGAACCATGGTCTCAGATTTGGAGGTGCTGATCCTCATCCCAGCCGCTTCACATTCGGCCGCGAACCTACCCAGCAAGAGCTGAAGGTCAGAGCTGGATGAAGCTAGGAGGACCACATCATCCGCAAAAAGCAGAGACGAGATTCTCCTGCCACCAAACTCGACACACTCCACACCACGGCTGCGTCTAGAAATTCTGTCCATAAAAGTGATGAACAGAACCGGTGACAAAGGGCAGCCCTGGCGGAGTCCAACCCTCACTGGGAACAGGTCCGACTTACTACCGGCTATGCGGACCAAACTCACGCTCCTCTGGTAAAGGGACTGAATGGCCCTTAACAGAAAGCCACCCACCCCATACTCCTGGAGCGTCCCCCACAGGGTGCCCCTGGGGACACGGTCATAAGCCTTCTCCAAATCCACAAAACACATGTGGATTGGTTGGGCAAACTCCCATGCCCCCTCCATCACCCTTGCAAGGGTATAGAGCTGGTCCACAGTTCCACGGCCAGGACGAAAACCACATTGCTCCTCCTCTATCTGAGATTCAACTATCGATCGGACCCTCCTCTCCAGTACCTTGGAGTAGACCTTTCCAGGGAGGCTGAGGAGTGTGATCCCCCTATAGTTGGAACACACCCTCAGGTCACCCTTCTTAAAGATGGGGACCACCACCCCGGTCTGCCACTCCCTAGGAACTGCCCCCGATGACCACGCACCTAATGAAAAAAATCAGATTGTATGAAAGTTGTTGTAAACTGCTGTGTCTCATTGGTGTGGCTTATTAACATAATTGAGAAATGGTTTTGAGTAGTAACATCAATTAACCTAGGAGCTATTGAGAGAAATCACTTAACTTTGTCATGTTCTGAGGTAGATGTCTAACCCAAGACATGCAGAATCAGAGATGGAGACTTAGATAAAGAAAAAAAAATAACAATATTTATTTTATAAAGGAGAAACTAAGGGCGCACTGGAGGTCCAGCGGATGGGTAAGCAAACAGGAAGCGGCGTCTAGGGGAAAACAGAGGTGAGTATTGGGAATTGTGGTTCAGAGGGAATTGCTTGGAGATGGGACTTACGATGCGGAAGTTCAGGAGGGAAATGGAGGGGGAGTGAGCCGGGGTGATATCCAGAGCAATGACTACGGTCCAGGAGGATGAGTAATGACGAGAGGAGATGAAGAAGTTGAACCGGAGAGGGAGCGTGAGCGAGGTGGAGAGCAGGACGGCTGAGTGAATTGTGATCCAGGAAGCGAACCAAAGAGAAGTCCTTTACAGAGACGGCAGAGGATCTAGAGAAAGAAGCAACCAGTCAGTAGTAATCATCCGGCGTCGAATCATGATCACCATCCTCCTTTTAAAGCCGACCCGCTGATAACGCTGATGAGGTTCAGCTGTCGCTCCCTCTCCTGCAATCAGAACACTCAGAGATGCTGAATAGCGTGAAGAGTACTCACCCCGGCTCATGACAAACTTTTGATAAAAATCCTAATAAAATATGTTGAATCTTGTGAAATTTGATAAAAATGGCTGTGTCTCATTGTTGTAACTTAGTAACATAACTGAGAAATGGTTTTGGGTTTTTTGACTAACTTACCTAGAAGCTATTGAAAAAAATCCCTTAATTTTTTATAAAATTTTTAATAAAAAATATTGGATTGTATGAAATGTGATAAAAACTGCTGTGTCTCATTGATCTAGCTTAGTATCATTGAGAAATAATTTTGGGTATTTTGACTAATTTACCTAGGAGCTATTGAAAAAAAAACCCCGTAATTTTGTATAAAAATCCTAATGAAAGTATCAGATTGTCTGAAAGTTGTTATAAACTGCTGTGTCTCATTGGTGTTGCTTATTAACATAATTGAGAAATGGTTTTGGTTTTTTGACTGATTTACCTAGGAGCCATTGAAAAGAATCCCTTAATCTTTTATAAAAAAAATTAATAACAAATATTGGATTGTATGAAATGTGATAAAAACTGCTGTGTCTCATTGATTTAGCTTAGTAACAACATATGGAAATGGTTTGGGTATTTTGATTAATTTACCTAGGAGCTATTGAAAATAATCTCTTAATTTTTGCTAAAACTAATAAAAAAGATCAGATCATATTAAAGGTGTTAAAAACTGCTGTGTTTCATTGATCTAGCTTAGTAACACAATTGAGAAATGGTTTTGTGTATTTAGACTGATTTACCTAGGAGCTATTGAAAAAATCCCTTAATTTTGGAATAAAATCCTAATAAAAAGATCAGATTGTGTGAAATGTGTTAAAACTGTTGTCTTGTAAATGTAGTTTAGTAACACAAGTCAGAAGTAATTTTGAGTCACTTCGGAAATTATTCTGGAAGTTTTTTTTTACTCGTTTACAAAGGACAACAATTTTGTTGATAGTCCCTAAGCGAGCCACCGTTCCCTATAGCGAGTCCTGGGACCTCAGCTAACAGCTGTCTGTGCCGCAGTGCACGGCATGATGAAGACTTATCGCTGACCGTGTCTGTCGAATATCCAACGTCCAACTTCGAGCTAACTTCACCGCGGTCCGATGACGGTGGTGTCGGCTGTTAACTTGATAAGCTTGACAGACTCGTGGTTGGAGGAGCAGCTGTTGGAGTACAGGGAGAAGATCAGAGGGGAGAGAACACAGCCCTGAGGAGAACCGGCGCTGATGGTCTGCAGGTCAGAGACTTTCTTCTCCAGCCTGACCTGCAGCTTCCTGTCAGTCAGGAAGTCAGTGTATCATGTAATTGTTTAGAGAATACAATTTCTACTACAGTTGTACAGTTTTTTATACACAAATGCAAATGTGGCGCTATTAACCCCATCTTTATTATTTTTCTGAATGAACTTGCATCCCTTATGGACTGTGTTAAATTATGCAAAGCCAAGAAGGCAATTGGTTGTATAAGAATTTGCTAAATGTATCATTTACCCATGGGTTTAACATGCTTTTCCTTTCCTTTTCTTTTCTTTCTCTCTGTCACCGTTTATTACCAGAACCTGCACTTAGATATAGAAATATGTTAGAGCTGCTGTTTAAGTTTGCAAACGTTTTACTCCATTGTTATGTTCCAGTGTGTGTGTGTGTGTGTGTGTGTGTGTGTGTGTGTGTGTGTGTGTGGGTGTGTGTGTGTGTTGAAACTGTTGTAAACCTGTAACATACATCAGTTGGAACTTGGAATAATAATAATAATTTAAAAAAAAGCTTAAATTCGTTATAAAAGCAGAAGTGTCTCCTTCCGAGGTTCCGTGAACGCACCGTGGGGGCGGAGCTAGTGAAGTTTAGCTGAGCCGGAAACGGCCACGGAGCCTCCGCGCCGCAGATTTCGGCAGAAACTACTTAAGTAGCGCAGGGTTCCAGGCCCGGAGACCGGCGCTCGGTTCCTGGGACAACCGGACGCGTGTCCCCGTAACTTCATCAGAGGACAGAGAGGCGGCGGGACAGCCTGGGAGCCTGCCGGACGTGGACTCTCGTCTCGCGGCTTGACCCTCCGTTGTGAACCAGGTGGGTTGGGTAAGGTTACTGGGAGGAGGCCTGCGCGCTTCAGCGAGCAGGTGACCACAGGTGTTTGCTTGTGGGTCATTAGGGAAGCTCGCCAGCTGTTCTCTGTCAGCTGTTTAGGTATCCAGCTGTGGTTTGTCTTCAGTTGGTCCTCTCGGCTCTGACCGTCATACCTCACCTGGAACCGACTCTCGATGCTGGATGGGGTAGATGTGAAATGGAGACCTGGATGGGAGATCTAGTCTCCTGTCCTCAGGCTCGTACCTGGTTAACTTCATGCTGACCACCTGGAACCCAGACGGCATGTCCAGGTGAACAACAGCTAGGGTTGCGTCATTACGGAAACGTCTGGCTCCTGCTAGGTGTGTCTCCCCTCCCCTCCAGCAGGTCTGGTTGCAAGCTGGAGAGGCTGTTTGGGAGGAGGGTGTGAACCAGGAAGAAGCCTCCCGAGTCCTCAGGTGTGTGTGTGTGTGCGCGCGCATCCTTCCAGTTCCACCTGCCCAGCCGAACAAAAGCCTGTTGTCGGAGTGGTTCCACCTGAAACTGTCATGGAGGCCAGCTGAAGAGACCTTACCTGTGTCACACCTGCAGATGAACAGAAACAGGAGTCAGAACAATAATGCTGCAGCAGCTTCTTCATGTCGTAGACAAATACATCCAGGCCAATCATCAGGCAGGTGAGGTGAGGGACGGAGGATGGACCACTTGGACCTGCACCGCTGAGATCTCTTCTGTGTTGTAAAAACAAGGCTGGTTGAGATGAACCTCTCTGCATTGTGATGATGTCATCCTGAAACAGGTGTGGAGCCCTTCACTGACGACCGTCCTAGTTTTCTCTGGATATTAGCGCGCTGTAGGCAGGACCCTAGAGCAGTGGCTACAGGAGGCTTCGTGTTGGGGTGGAACGAGGTTGGTGACGTGCTCCTCGTCACTGGTGAAGGTTAGGTACTAGGACTACACGTGTGACCTGTGTATCACACACACAAACATGCCTGTATTTTCATCTAGGACTCCCGCGGTGCGGTAGAGTGGTGTCCAGTTATGTTTTTGTCCCAACGTTGATGCTCAGACTCGTAGCAGCTGTTCTCTGCTCTTATAGCAGTACAGTCTGTCCGTGTGACTGAGCCATCAACTATGACATGAAATTTAATCATTTAGTCCATGATTTTGTTTCATGCTACACAATGATGTAGCTTCTTTAGTAGGGCTGGGGTAAACAATTATTTTTAAAACAATTATTCTGACGATTATTTTATCGAATAGTCGACTATTCTAATGACTATTTAGACGAAAATCTCAAATTCATCAAAAAAATTGATAAATTGTTACTGTAAGAGAATAAACACTACAGGCCTTCCATTTTGTATAACACTGCTTTTATTGTGTTGGTTGGTTATGTTCTGGTGACGTGTAGAACTTGGGAGAGCAGGCTGCTGCCTGAGAGGTGGTTGGAGACGGAGTGTCTCCATGCTGCTTTGTTTGGGTCACTTATGAGCGTGAGGCGAGTGGTGTTACGACCCTTCCTGGGGAGTTTGGCTCGTGTGCAAAAAGGAAGGGACAATAACGGGATTTAAAGTTAAAATGATGATCAGGTTTATTTACAACTACAACAAAAAAAAAAACCTTTCCATCCACAGGTTGGGAATAATAAAACTAATTCTGCCTGTGGGGAATTAAAACAAAGTACAAATAAGTAGGGATGTCCCACTGGGCAAAGATTACTGGGTTCTGGACCAAAATAAGTACCGTAAATCCTACAGGCCCGGGCCTGTATTTGACTTCTGATTACCTTCAATGGTGTCTGTTTGTTGCAACCAGCAGGTACAAAAACTAACTTGTTTTTATTTGACTATTTTTCTGTCCTGTCTGTTTATTATCTTCCTGCATCTCCTCTCAATCCTAAAGAGAAACTGCTACCTGGGTTCATATATATTCACCTCATGAGTTACCTTTGAACTGCAGTTCTAAAAGATCTACCGACCGCTAAAACAGCGGAGCGCTCGCTGCTTGGCGGCCGCATCAGTGATCGGTGCGTCACCGGAGGACAAGGTGATGCGCCCCGATGCACAGCGAAATGCATCAGGCGCAAATAAAAGACAGAAAACATTAAAGGAAATGAACGATCGCGTGCCAGTACCGACGCTCTGGCACAGCGCGTTGCCCCCCCCCCCCCCCCCGAGCGCAGGAGCTTGTCACCTGCTGATAGCAGGCTGCTGTCTTTTCCGAGGGCTGCATCTTGCCGGTCATTATCACGTGACAGCGACTAGTCGATGACAGGCATAACAAGTCACTATAGAGCGGTGAAGTCGACTAGTGACTAGTTCATACAACCCCTGCTACTGCTCCCCAGAGTGTTCTGCAGCATAATCAGCACGTTCTCTTTGAACTTGATATCAATTTTCGCCTCCTCTTCGTCTCCGCTTGCTTTGTGCCATGGATAGGCCTGGGCGGTATGGCAAAAATGTCATATCACGGCATTTTTTAAAATTATATCGGTTTTGCGGTATTTGACGGTATTTTTCACAAGGCCGTGATTACCCAGATTATTTTTATATAAGAAAATAACTACTGCACTAGATTGGCCTTAAATAGCCCGTTTTACCTTCATGTGCAGGTAGGTAAACGCAGAAACCCCCTCAAAGTACCCTTGTCAAAAGAAACCAGTTAAGAAATAACAACTAGGAAGTTAAAATATTGCAGTCAAAATAAACTATTTTTATTGAACACATTTTGCATATAATCTGTGCAGTTAAGCATCTTTATGATTTAACATCCAATGTTATTGCGTTGGTTATCTCGACCCACCGCTTGCTTTTTTTTAAATACAGTCCCTTTAGCGAACGCGTCTTTAATGGACGCCTGACTCTGACTGCTACTGGCCGTGTTAGCCTTGGAGGTGGAGGGTGCGGATCAAAGCTCGAGACATGCTTGGTATTCCAAGACGTGTTTTCGGCTGAGGTGATGGAGCAAGTTGCTGATATTACCCCCGCCGGCTACCACCGTTGCTCGACAGCATTTGCTTATAAAAGTTGTTTGCTCCACGTCCGAACTTTTAAACCCGAAATACCTCCAAACAGTAGACGTGGCTCCTCTTTTTGGAATAAGTTCTTCTGCGTTCAAAGTTTTAGTGTCACCGTGACAGCTCCCGCCAGCCGCCATTCTTGGTTTCACCACGCTGTGGTGTTTGTGTGTAGCAGTGAAATGAGTCCCAGCTGAAACAGTTTCCTGCTACGAACGTTCTAGACGTTGTTTAGGCCATTCACCGGTGTAGCGGTATGTGAAAAATTCATATCATAACCAAAATAAACACCGGTTTGTAGTATGAACCAGTATACCTCCCCAGACTATCCATGGATTCCACACATGATGTCTGTGAATTTTAAAGATGCATTTTGATACCAGGAAGACGCTTACTGTCGAACGGGGGGAACGATATTTTAGGTGTTGTGTGCAAATAAGTCCAGGATTACAAATGCGCATCATTGAACCAGACCTGGAGAAAAATGAGGGAAAAGGTCTGGAAGTTCATTAAACTTCCCACAGGAGGAAAGAACCACCATAAATCTGGTCATGTGGTGAGTAGCAGCTACGCTAGGGGGGAGGAGCTCATGTGGTGACGTCACATATGCGACGCGCTGATTTCGAGTGTCTAGTCATGCTAATTACAAACTTTTACAAGCTGATCAATCTCAAAGTCTGTGACTGGCGTGGTCGAAACACCCATCATTATTTTTCATTTAAGTAGCAGTACAACACGTGTGTCCAGGGTGTAAGGCACGTGGATTAGAAAATGGTATTTTTAGGCCCGTTGGCTTGCGTTCATTTTTTTGTTTTGTTGACCCTTGAGCCGACCGGGAAGGGAGGAGACTTGGGCTCCCTATACTTGATGTTGTCCAGCTGAAGCAGACGTCTGCTTATTTCTAACAGAGCTGAGCGGTGGGAGAAAATATTCTGGCTTGTTTAATCAGATTTTTCCATCAGCTGTGGGTTTAGTGTGTTCACTTAATATTAATTATAAAACTATAAATAACAGGCCACTACAGTCTGGCTAGAGCGTGTTTCTTGGAACAGCAGCTGGTTGGGTTAGGGTTGGCAGCAGCTCACCGGTTCCTGACAGGAGAACTCCTCTCATCAGCAGCAGGTGATCTACAGAGGGTCATGACTGAACTTCTCATTGTGACACCAGAGCTGGCTCATGCAGCTCATTAGTGCGACTCGATTCTACAGTTTTCATAAATAAACTAGGGCCGGGACTTTAACGCGTTAATTACGATTAATTACTTAGAAAAAAATAATGCGTTAAAAAAAATTAACGCATTTAATCGCAGCTTGCATTTCGAGCACGGCGGAACCTTTGTCACTGCACGATTTCCTCGTAGACAGAATATCACTGACGCACACAACAATGCACAGTGCTAATGGCTACTAAAACATAATAAAAACAGAAAGAAGTTGCCTTGCTTGGACTGATGCAGGATTTAGGAAACACGTCCGCCTCTTTTCTTAACTTGGGAAAAAAACACTTCCAGACAACAACGGAGTCCGTGTCGCGGACATTTATCAGAGATCGTCTCTGCTGCGGCGGCCCGGTGGCACCGGGAACTTTACAAAAGTTGCGGTAAGCTATATTTTTAACATTTACGTAACATCTGTGCAGCGCTGAAAGCACCAGACAGAATAATTCTGTGCCCTAACAGTAGTTTATGAAAGTAGTCAGACAAACGAGAGGCACCTGGCTGCCGCTGGGAGAACGCTCTGTGTTCTCACTACTCTGTAAACAATCACAAACAACGTGTCTTACAGTTGAAAACAGAAGTTTAAGTTAAAACAGAAACACTCTGAAACTTTTCTGATGATTTTCTAAACAATTCTGTCGGGGAGTTATACGTTTCTGAGACGAGTCTCTGTCTAAACATCACATGCATTACTATCATTAAGCAGCAGGTGTGTTGAAGCTGTCACCAGCTAAGGGGCGGATGCTTAAGTGCATCAGGGGCAGCGAGGAACGAGGAAGTTGTGATCAGGCTGGAGATCACACCAGATTCGCTGCTGCAGACGTGAATCTGCGGGTCTGCAGCACCCCCTTCTTAACGTGACATCAGGACTTCCCATGTAAGGAAGGTCCGCTCACCTGTTCGTCAGATCATTATTTCCTCGCCATGATCTTTAATCTTCCCATCATCCTCCAGTCATCCAACTGGAACCAGTTAGTGTTACTGATCATTCTCAGAATATGACACGCCTGCTCTGGTGTTAAAAGTTAGTACATTTAAGTCCTAGATCATATTTGTGCCTGTTCTACTGTCATTTTGAAGGATTATTATTCATTTATGTGTTTTTACTACATTATGAGTAGAAATGCTAATAAAAACTCCCAATTATACAAACAAGTGAAACTGGAAAAATTAGAATCTGGTGCAAAGTCAAATTTATTTCAGTCATTCAACTAGACAGAGAGACTATTTAAAGGCTCAGGAACCCTTTGCAGGTGTTTTCTATTTGTAATTATAAATTTTAGTTGATTTGTGTCTTGTTTCATATCACACAGTGACGTTTTTAGTTTACAGTAATAACCATGTCTAATGTTTGATTCTCTGTCTCATAATTTTAATTAAAAGCTTTAATTTGAGAGCGCATTTTCCTGAACGATTAAAATTCGATTAATTTAGAGTAATTAATTACAAAGCCTGTAATTAATTAGATTAATTTTTTTTATCAAGTCCCAGCCCTAAAATAAACACAACTTAGATCTGTGGCTCATATTAAACCAAAACCAGAGCGCTGCGGGAGCAAGCTCGTAATGAGCACGCACGTTTTTACCGCTTGGGTGGTGAGGAGCGGTCAGGAATCTTGGTGTGACCTTTGACCCAGCTCTCACCCTGGATTCTCATGTCAGTTCTCTTGTTGGC